GTAAATTAATCAAGCCCTGGGGTCTTTGTAATTAGTTTTGAGGGGTGGTTTTTTTGCCTCTATTTTTTTTTTTTTAAAAAAAAAGGAAAAATCTACTGAAAGAACGAGTACTACCTAAAAGGATGCAAAAGCAACAACAGAAAGTTCTATTTTATTAATTTTTTTGTACGTGTTGTGTTTGAAGTTTGTCTTAGGTATGAACATGGAATTCTCTAATAAAAGCGAAGTCTTCGATCTCACGCACAACCCCCCCTGTCATTATTATCGCTTTTATTGTTGTTGTCTTTCCCTTTTCCAGGGGAACTTGCCATTCTTAAGGAGCAGAGGGTTGTAAAGAAAGCCTTTTTTCCCTCTGTATGACAATGTCTCCTAATCTGCAAGGACAAGCAACTCCGAGCCCACGGAAGTTACAGTGGAGAGATAAATCTGGTTTTCCCTCTTTTTGTCTAATCTCAAATGGAAGACCTTTCACCAATAGTATTTCCTCGCTGACATTCTGCTTTAGTAGCGCTCTTTTTTCTTGTTACAGTACAAAGAGTTATGACGAAACGCTCTCCATATACATAATAAATCAAGGAAACGGGCAAAAATATGCTCTCATTTATCTCCCAAAGATACCTAACATTTGCCTAGCATCTTTCAAACATCTGGTCCCTCACTTCATAGCCCCAAATCAAAGCGAAGTGTATCGCAAAAAAAAAAAAAAAAAAAAAAAAGTCCAGATTTCCAGGGGATTCGCCCCGAGAAACGAGGAGCTTCTCAGCTCCGGGAATTACGGCGTCCATCGGAGGTGACGGTGGTGGTGGGGTGTGAAAAAAAGAACCTAAACTAAATCTAACGAGCTCTTTGGAAAGAGCGGATTTTTATTTTCCCTTGAAAGCGTTTCCAGCGGCTCCTCGGGAGAGCCGGGACTTCCCCGGGAAGGGTCCGGGGACCGTCCCTGCTCCGCGCCGAGGGATCTCGTGCGAACAGCCAAACTCTGCCCGGGTTTGGTTTGTTATTTTTGGGAATGAAACGAAAGGAACCGCTTTTCCCGCCCGGGGATTCAGGACCGCGACCAAGCGAGCAGCCCGGCCCGTTTTCTGCAGCTTCGCGGGGGGAAAACGCCACGAAAGAGCATCTCCTGCCTCCCATCCCCTTTTCCCCCGCTCCCCAGCAGAAATACCTATGTATGAATGCATTCCCCCGTGCCACAAGCTGCTTTAATGTCAGTCACTTTTAAAATCAATTCATGCAGAAGCTTCCCAGCTGTAGGACATTTACTATTATTGCCACGCTTTTCATTGCCCGTAATTATTATAATTATATGTCACTTTCAATATGGCGCATAATTTCCAATGAGTTGCAGACGAGCACACGAAATTCCTAAACTGCCTCGGAACAAAAAAAAAAAAGAAAGAAAGAAAGAAAGAAAAGAAGGAGAGAGAGGGAAAAAAGAAGAAGAAGGGGAAAAAAAAAAAAGAAAGTAATGCTTAACAAAGCGCAGCTCTTTCCCAACGTTTTTACAGTTTCAGGGTGCTTTTGCTCCCCAATATTCCTCGCGGGTTGAACAAATGGAAAGGAAAAAAACACAGTGCTGTGCCCACAGAGGAGGCGAAACGCTCAGGAACAAGAATATCCTAAAAGCAACGTTGTCGACCAGTTCCACCGGCCGGATTTTCCCTCCTTTTCCTTTCTCCCCCCGCCACGTTCCCCCCTCTTTTTTTTATTTTTTTTTTAAATTTTTGTTTTCCCCTCCAGAATTAAGGTGCGACCTCATCGCTGCCCCCACGCTCGGAGCGCGAGAAACCTCGACTTTTTCCAGCCACAACCGCACGAAAGGACCCCGAAGCACCCCCCCACTCTCTGCCCTCCTCAACAAGCAGCTCCTCGTTGCCCCCCTACTCCAGGACCACGAGAGAAGAAAACCCTCCCGGCGCCTCATCCCAAACTTCCCCCCTGCTTTTTTTTCCACAAAAAAAAAAAAAAAAAAAAAAGAAAAAAAAGAAAGAAG